GCGGGAGGCAGCAGGGGAAAAAAATAGCCCTCCCAGTTCAGGATTTTCAAAGACTTACAGCTGAAATCCAGAAAAACTCCTGCAGTTTAGGAGCTCCCTCACCATTTCTTGGAGGCAGCAGGGAAAACAGGAATTAGAACAGCATTTTCAAAATTGCCCTCAAACTTCGGGAAATAACATAACAGTGTATTTTCTCACTTCTAGAACTACAGTGTATCGGGAAACGCTGCACCAAAAAATGCAATTCAGGATGGTCTACACCCGCAGATTTCTCAGTATTTTCTGTCTGCTGGCCAGTTAAGTATTGCCTAGAGTTTAAACTTGCACAAGAACTACAAAAAGATTCATACTGGATTCACAGAATACCATTACTACCAACTGTAATAATGGCTTCCCTTAATCCACAGCCATGTAATCTGGAAATAATAAACATTTTAAGCAAATGTGGGAGTTCCCTGCATCTTGAAAAGTTTCCCTTGCACTTAGTTAATCATCCCCTCCAGGGCAGTTTTACGAGGCGCCTGTCTGTACAGTGTACACAGGCTGATTACATTTAAATCTTCTCTTCCAACGCATGGCATTTCTAAAGGAAAAGCCTAATTTCGCCAGACAAGCTGAATCTTGTCATTTTCCTCGGCTTGTTTATGTAGGGGAGGAAAATAAAACCAGTATTTATGTCGAAATGGGCCACACCTCAACCAAAATGCTAACCTAAAACAAAACAAAACAAAAGCAAATAGAAATCACCCTTCTTCCTTTCTCCAGATTCACTTTCTGATTAGCAAGAGGGTTTTGCATTTGCACAACCACATTTTGGAAGAGTGAGAAGATAAATGGTCCCAAACAATCACTTCCTTCCATGCACCTAAAAAAATTAGTTTGTTATTTCTAATATGCCATCTTTTCACTCAGCACTAAAATTTCTGGGGTGGAAGCGCAAAGCCATTCAACATTTTTTTTAACAGGAGCAAATGAAGCTCCCCTACAGGACCCATCCTTTCCTCCAAACCCAGTTTCCCTCCTGCCTCTTCCCATCCTCTACATCTGGCAAGGAGAGAAGGAGCTCTGGGTTCCACATCAGGCTGATTTGCACCAAATGAAACCCTCCCACATTTCGTTTCAAACACCCATTGATACCCCCACCTCTCTGTTTTCTTTAAACAAACCCACCCCCTCCTCCCATCCCCGAGGGGAGAAACAACACTGACATTTATACAGAAGTGAATGAACGAGCTGTAAATGCAACAGCAAAAGTGAACTGAAAAGCACTTATCTATCCATCATCCAAAAAAGACCAGCAAACAACCGACAAGAGAAACAACTCAAATCCTGAAGCAACGTGAATCAAAACAGACAACCTGGAAAACATCTGGCAAGTACGTATGTCCTTCAAAGGTATGCAGTGTTTCCTCCGTAAAGAATCCCTTATCCCGGCATGTTCCAAAGTCCCTGCTCCCAAGCAAGAACCCAGTTCCTGCAAAACGTAATCACAGCCCAGGCCCGCTGATTTCCCTGGAGGCTCCCAACCCCCCGTCATAAGGCATTTTCCTGAACCTTATAGAAAAAGTTGTCTGGGTATCCACTTGTAGCCAGAAGTTTCAAGAATTCAATTCAGAGGATCACAGGAAAAATAGCACAAGAAAAAAGAAAAAGCAAGGCTTAGATGACTACTAGGTCAGGAGAAGGAGAGCAGAGAAGGAAAGAGAAAGTTTGCTGAGCTTCCCCACAGCGTTGGAAGCTGTCCTACCTGAGGTCCAAGTGCCTGAGGCGTCCTGAGGAGCTGGAGCTGGTGGCTGTCTGGTCTGCTCTTCTGGAGGTATGTGACCACGGTGAGAGGAAGGACCTGCTTCCCGAGGTTAAAAGTTTCCAGCGTTAGTGTGCTGGGGTGTGTGATGGGCGGTTTCTTTTCACTCTGTTTTAAAGGAGTTTCTATGAATCAGTCTGACTTTAAAAAAAAAAAAAAGATTTGTTGGTAAGTTACGCCCTGCTGGGTTGGCAGTTGGTCAAGAGAGGCTGGGAGTGAGCCATCAATTCAAAGAAGCCTGTTTAGGCTCTCTCTGACTCACACACACAGACCACAGTGGAAAAAGGAGTGACATTGCTTCAAATGAGTAATAGGAGTCACACAAATAGATCTGTTTACCGAAGCCCATTCCTCCTCACCGAAAAGGAGACTTGGTTACCATGGGCAGAGGCAAAACACAAGTACTCTGTCCAAATGTTCATCTGGGGAGGGGGAGAGAAAGGGACAGGGCCCTGCCCATCGAAATCCTAGCTAATCATCCAGGGAGATCCCCATTCATCCTCCCCGACCTAATGCACCGGTGGCTGCCCACCGTCAGGAATGAGCAGATTTATTTATTTGCTTCCCTGCCTGACCCTGGCGCACTCTTCTTTGGGCAGCCGTAAGGCAAGCCTGGGAACCAGGGGAGGACGCACAGAGAGCCCTCATCACCCTGCCTCTGAATGACCAGTAGCCTGGCCTTTAATTACACTCTGAATGAATGCCCATGTGGACTCCTCACATTCTGCAGCAAGTCCTCTGCTTAAGGACTTTGCTCTCTGATCTCCATGTAATAATCATCTGGACCTTGCTCCACAGTTGAGCTCCACCGGGAGGGGCCCTGGAAGTCACTTAATCCCACAACCGAGGCGGCATTCCCCGGAGACAAGAGCTCAGATGCCTAAGTTCAAGCCCCGCTCTCCACTTGCTGGCTGTGTGGCTGTGGACAAATGGACCTCCCCAGGCCTGTTTCTTTGTGCATCAAACGGGGGCAGAAGGTACCTATCTCATAGAGCTGTGCTGAAGGACACAGGGAGAGGGGCACCTGGGCGGCTCAGTTGGTTAAGAGTCTGCCTTCGGCTCAGGTCCTGATTCCGGGGTCCTGGGATCGAGTCCCGCATCCGGCTCCTTGCTCAGTGGGGAGTCTGCTTCTCCCTCTGCCTCTGCCTCTCTCTCTTTCTCTCTGTCTCTCATGAATAAATAAATAAAATCTTAAAAAAATAAATACACGGAGAAAGCTTATAATAATGCTCAGCAACTAGAAGAACTCAAGAAATGTTAACTGTGATTATTTTACTGAAGGAAAAACTCAGGCCCAGAGAGGTGACGTGACATATCCAAGAAGACATCGCCAATTAGCAGAGGCAGCTTGGATCCCAGTCTGCCACATCCAGGCGACTCTATTTCTGTTCTCTGCTGCATCGTGACAACCTATTTTAATTTATTCTTTTACAGTTATGCATTTATTCAACCAATACATCTGCACGTTTCACACATGAGGCACGGTTCAGAGCATTGGGTGACAGTTGTGAGCAAGATCCCTGTCCTCTTGGAACTTCTATTCCATAAAAGAATAGAGGGCAGGCTGTGGCCACTCACCAAAATTTTTATAAAATTAGATGGTAAAATTGCAGGTGAATTTCAGTTTCTTCTGGGTCACATTTCTGTATTTTCCAAATCTTCTGCAATGAACCTACATTACTCTGGTGTTTAGGAAAAATATTTTAAAGTGGAAAGGAGAGAATATTTTCTGAAGTGGATGCTGGGGAAAACATCACACACACATGTACACACACACACAGACGATTTGATACTGCATCTTCCCAAGTCCCTGAGAACTGAAGTCTGTCCCTGGAAGGCTGAGACAGTGTAGGTTTTTCATTAAAAACTGGTGATATGACACAAGACTGCATCAGTTTCTCATATCTTTCCTCATTTCCCTCTCCCCCATCTCTCATTTGATAATAAAAGTACCTGTTTGAGAAAAGCCACTCCCAGGAGTAGGTTAAAAGGCCCTGTGATCTCTGAGCAGCCCAACCCTCGGGAGGGGAAGAAGGAGAGGCCCAGGAACCCTGGCGGGTTGTCAGGGCAGAACAACAGGAGGACGACCAGCCCATCCTCTCTGAGCTGCAATCTGCCAGGTCTTCACCTCCAAGGCCTTCTGCCGGTTTTAAACTCCCTCTTACCCCCTGCAGCATGTGAAGGAGACTGGGCTTGGGTTGGGGTTGGGGGTAGAGTCCTGGGATGCTGAGGAGTATGTGGTCTGGTTGCATTTTTTTGTAGAGAAATCTGGAGCCAAGAAACACTAGAGAGGAAGCGCTCTCTCCCTTGCCTCCCTCTCAGGCAAACAAAGGAGAAAGGCCGAAACTTCTCTTCAGGTACTGGAATAGAGGAGACACTTGGTCCTGCTGGATTCCCACACTGGGTTTGAAAGGAAGAGGCAGGGCATTGAGAAGGGGGCTCCTGGAGACAGGAAGTCCACTTTTCTTCTGCAGTGGGGTGAGCAGGTGAGCAAGTCCTGCATTTCAACTTCAAAGTGAGTTCATGTCCTCGCCTTCCAAATGGGCCTAATAAATCTCACCTGCCTATGCCCTCTGCAAATGAGGGTTTGGAGAGAAAATCTTAAATGCTTTGAGCTCTTAAAACACACAGACACACACAGTGGTGTCATATAAAGCTAAGTTGTATAAATATTTTTAAAAGATAAATGCCAGTCCAGGAGCTCTAAAGGCTCATGATTAACCCTTGAAATGTCACTGAACTTATTTTATAAAACAAAGTTATCAAGTTCTGGGAAGGAAATCAGATCTGTTCTGGCTGAAGCTCCAGCTTACTGTGCTTCTGGATGTGATTAAAATCTTAAGTCTTTTTCTTTCCACAGCCATGAATTTAAGACTGTGGATAGGAACGAGTTCAGGGGTCTAAAACCACATGGGGCTGGAGAAGGCAAATCCCTCTGCCATCTGCACGTGTCTTTTCAAACTCTTCGGGGTAATCTGCCTTTCCGCTCTGTGCTCCCATGCCCCTCATCTGGAGGGTAGAGTAGACACTTTCATTTTCCACGTGGGTAAAGAACCAGGCAAAGTTTCATTTGACCTCAGTAAAGTCACATGTTCTTGGGAAGGAATGTCCCCTCCTGCCCAGAGCCACAGTGTTACCCTCAAGTACAAGAATATTTTTCCCTCCTTCTGAAGCAAGGAGAATCAACTTCTGGCATGATGCCATTTGGGGCCGATTTTCAAGTTCGAGCTGGCGTAAACACTTTTAATGAATGTATGAATCAAGGGCTTTTTATGACGGGAGACCAGGAGAAATCTCCAAAGGTAGGTCTGGCCCCTGATGGCTCCCAGAAAAGAAAACTAATAATAGCTTAAACTTGTTTTTGCTCAAACTCAGTTAGCCAAAAGGAATCTCAAACATGTTCCCCAAAGCCATTATATGAGCAGGGGATGTCAATGCTGAGATTAGCAAACACTGCTTGAAAGGTAACTAAGTTGAAAGAAAGTTGTATAGTATCTTCCAAAATCAAATGAGTGTTCCTTGCCACTCCTAGTTGAAACTTGAGAATTTACCAGAAATTTCATATTCTTCCCTTTTTTCCTTCCTGCCACACTCCTGTCCTTATTTCTCCCTCAGACTGTTTTCTTCCCGCCTGTATCGTTTCCTTCCTCAAAACCCTCTCAGTGACATGTCATTTGAATATAATTCCACAAAACGGGAAAGCTCTAAAATCCTCTTAGTCTCCCCCTTTCTTGTCTCAGCGAGCTTGTCCCGAAACTGCTTTTGAAAGATAAAATTCACGAAACTCCGAGAGCGTTCCAAGAATGTGGGCCCTCGGCCTGGCACTTAGAGCTGAGTGGAAAGTCTCGCCAACCCAGCGGTATGATGTCGTAGAAGAGGAAGGGCTATTGAAGACATCTGAACTTGGCAGGGGAAAAGAACCAACCCTGCCACCTTGGACAGTTACCAGATGGATCCTAAGGACTGTCTTTAAGTTTAGGCAGCTGGGATGTGTATGGATGTTGGAAATGGCTGAAAGAACAGAACGCCCGAGCCATGTCCACCTCGCGGCAGCTTCAAAGCCAGAGAAGAATAACCAGCAGACAAAGAAGTGGTGATCAGAATAAAAAGTGAAAAGATCTTTCTCCAGCTAATGTCAATGGCAATACTAGAAGGTGGATATCAAAGGTATATCACCTTCTTCACGTTACCCCTCATGATACTGAATGCATTATTACTACTGTTTCACGGACCATTTCAGGGAAAGCGCTGAATATTTATAAGTAATTAAAGAGCGACTATCCCTCCCTTTGCATATAGTGGTGGGCAGTAGGTCCAGTAAGTGGATGCTGGCTACATAGCAGTTACTCAATTAAAACCTAGTATATTTAATTAATGAAGTGTCCAATCCCCAAATAAAAGAATCTCATGTCCTCCTTAAAGATTTTCCCCTCAAACTCGGGTGCTGATCCAAGCACCCCTTTGGCTAGGCTTCCACAGATGTGAGAAAGCTGTTAACGCATAGGTTTACATTTACCCGAGGAAAATTGCCAGGGAAGAGGGCACAAAGCTAGACAGCCCAGCCTGGGGCTCCACTGGGACTGTGTGGTCAGCAGAGCACACAAGACACAGCAACACTCTAGAAATGATCTTGAGACCAAGTTAACACTTTCAAGAACATGAATTGTTTCTTGGTGGAAACAAACAATCAAACGCTAAGTAAAGTGACTCCATTATTCAGTCTCATTGGAATATGGAGTATTCTTTCCAGTTAAATTTTAGGATAATTGATTGAATATTTTTTAAGGATTTTATTTAATTATCTGACAGAGAGAGAGAGAGAGCACAAGCAGGGCTGGCGGCAGGCAGAGGGAGAGGGAGAAGCAGGCTCCCCGCTGAGCATGGAGCCCGATGCAGGACTAGATCCCAGGACTCTGGGATCATGACCTGAGCCAAAGGCAGCCCTTTAATCGACTGAGCCACCCAGGTGCCCCAAAAAACTGACTGAATATTTTTAAGTCTTACAGGACTAAACAGACATCTTTCAAATCCCTACAACTCACACACATTCACGCACACGCACATACAAGGTGACCTTTGCCATTCCAAACACACGGATGCCAAGTCCACTCTACTCTTTGCGGATGGT